TGTGTTTGTCTGATATGGAAGCATGTCCTCTGGAATGGTGCCCAAAACATGAAGGGGCATATGAATGTTTAGCATATCTGGCGTGTGTATACCTTGCAATGCCGACTATAAAAGTGCCATGTGAATGCCTGTTCAGACTTTCAGGTGATATTGTAAATAAGAAGAGGGCAGCATTATCTCCTGTAAATGTAAATAAACTTGTTTCTTTTAGTGACTGGCTGAACAAGAAGTAGGACTGAGTGGACTTGTAGGCGCTAAAGTTTTACATTGTTTTGTTTTTAAGTGTGGTTATGTAACAAAAATAGTCTACATTTGTAAGTTGAACTTTCATGATAAGGAGATTGCACTACAGTACTTATATGAGGTGAATTGAAAAATACTATTTCTTTTGTTATTTTTACAGTGCAAATATTTGTAATAAAAAATAACATACATTTTGATTTCAGTTACAACAAAATACAATATATATGAAAATGTAGAGAAACATCCAAAATATTTAATAATTTTTAATTGGTATTCTATTGTTTAATAGTGAGATTAAAACTGTGATTAATCGCGATTAATTTTTTTGTTAATTGTGTGAGTTATCTGTGATTAATCAACAGTCGTAGTTCTTATGTAAAAAGTAATTATAATAAAAATGTTTAGTAAAGAAACTCCCCAAGATAAATCCTCGAGATAGCAAGAATATGAGATGACGACCTTGGCAACAATGGTTTTAAAAATCTTGGCCTACTAGGAAATGTATATTTATATAAGTTTGTCAGTCACAAATCTAGCATTTTGGAGCAAAGTCACTAAAATGTAATCCAACAAACAAATGTTCCTTTAACTTGCCCCTCCCTTCTCTCTCTGCCTCACCCCACTCATAGTTATTGTCTTTGGTCAGTGAAGACCAAGAGTTCAGAGGTGCTTTCGCATGAGTTCACCTCCCACCCTGCGGGGAGGGAGGGTGCGGGGGAGAAGTTGTCTTGCTGTTTCCGCCAGCTGCTTGTCACTCCCTCTGGCCGTTCACTCTGGTTGCTGTGGTTTGTTGTACCACCACTCCATCGCTGATCGCCCTGTGATGTCCCCTTCTGCTGCCACCTGCCACTGTGACCTCTGCAAGTCGGTCTCTTGAAGTTCCACCCAGCATTCAGTGATTTCAGCTCTCATTTGGGGAACCTCACAGCGAGTGCAGGCTGGGCTGTCTTTTCCACAGAAATGCCATCCTGCAGCAGGTCTAAGCACTTAGACCTGATTATTAGTGATTTCAGCTCTAATGGTCACTTAACAAAACAAAATACTCTCTATGGAGCCTAATAAGCTCTATCTTTAAATAGGGGAGAGGGGCAGGTCAAATAGTGCCTGTGAGTCTTAGGCACAGCCCACACCACCAAGCAAAACCCCTATCCCTCCCACTCCACTGGGACCTGCCATCCAAACCCCTTGCTCAGCGAGTGCTCTTCTGTTGAGAGTGACCAGTGCTTAATTTGTAATGAGAGAGGTACCGGGGCTCAAGCAAGTTTTTGACTTTCATAATTGACGTGGCAAGCCCAGAGGTCCTGGGCCTATGAACTGCCAAACCTAGAGGTGCTGGAGCTCAGCCCTGGCAAAAATTAAGCACTGATGGTGACCCCCTTGGTCAGGACAGGCTCAATATAGTTCTGCTGCCCTTTACTCAGACAGTAAGGATAACAACATTTCATGACCCCCACATTCAATAGTAAACAGGTTTCAGAGTAACAGCCGTGTTAGTCTGTATTTGCAAAAAGAAAAGGAGTACTTGTGGCACCTTAGAGACTAACCAATTTATTTGAGCATAAGCTTTCGTGAGCTACAGCTCACTTCATCGGATGCATACTGTGGAAAATACAGAAGATGTTTTTATATACACAAACCATGAAAAAATGGGTGTTTATCACTATAAAAGGCTTTCTCTCCCCCCACCCCACTCTCCTGCTGGTAATAGCTTATCTAAAGTGATCACTCTCCTTACAATGTGTATGATAATCAAGGTGGGCCATTTCCAGCACAAATCCAGGGTTTAACAAGAACGTCTGAGGAACAGTGGGGGGGAGGGGGGGAAGGAATAAACAAGGGGAAATAGGTTACTTTTTATAATGAATCAACCATTCCCAGTCTCTATTCAAGCCTAAGTTAATTGTATTCGATTTGCAAATTAATTCCAATTCAGCAATCTCTCATTGGAGTCTGTTTTCAAAGTTTTTTTGTTGAAGGATAGTCACTTTGAGATCAGAAATCGAGTGACCAGAGAGATTGAAGTGTTCTCCGACTGGTTTATGAATGTTATAATTCTTGACATCTGATTTGTGTCCATTTATTCTTTTACGAAGAGACTGTCCAGTTTGATCAATGTACATGGCAGAGGGGCATTGCTGGCACATGATGGCATATATCACATTGGGAGATGTGCAGGTGAACGAGCCTCTGATAGTGTGGCTGATGTTATTAGGCCCCTGAATAGATATGTGGGCACAGTTGGCAACGGGCTTTGTTGCAAGGATAGGTTCCTGGGTTAGTGGTTCTGTTGTGTGGTATGTGGTTGCTGGTGAGTATTTGCTTCAGGTTGCGGGGCTGTCTGTAGGCAAGGACTGGCCTGTCTCCCAAGATTTGTGAAAGTGTTGGGTCATCCTTCAGGATAGGTTGTAGATCCTTAATAATGCATTGGAGGGGTTTTAGTTGGGGGCTGAAGGTGATGGCTAGTGGCGTTCTGTTATTTTCTTTGTTAGGCCTGTCCTATAGTAGGTGACTTCTGGGAACTCTAATAATACTAACAATACTGAAGTGATTTGTAACCCAACACCAGCCAAAATTTGGTCACTTGGGCAACATGGCTTTGTCTGCTGGATACCTAGGTAGAGTAGTTGAGTTCATGTAAGTACAAGTTCAGGTGAGTTCAAGTCTGGTCCTGAAGCCTTCCCCCTGCCTTGGCTGTCAGGGGAGAGCTCATTCAGACCTAGCTTACAAATCATATATTGAAATTATAAGATTGGCCAACATTGCCAAAACGAATGTGCAAACATTGTCAAAAAAACAGCTGTGTGAAGAAGCTAGTCTTTGTTCATACTTTTCAAACCCATTATACTTTTTCGGGTACAAGTATTTTATCATATACTGTATGCTTTTAAAGTGTGTATTAATGTTTCAATTCAAATTTCCAACCAATGACTAAATTGGCAACACTGTAAATAGCTGCATCAGGGTGTTGGGGAAGTTCAGGGGGTGGAGGTAGGGAAATCCCTGGTAGTCAATCTAGGTCAAAGGTCCTAAGTACTAGCATACAGGCAGCATTAGAGCCTTAATGGTGTCTTGTTTAATTTGTTCTTTTTTCTTCTTCTTTTTTTTGTAGCCAAGCATCTATAATTTGGCTCTTTCAGATATAGTTCATCTTTATACAGAGCATATCTTCTAGTCTTCTAGTTTTATGCATATGTCATTGTTTTAATTTTTATTAATGTTTTTATTGAAGTGAGTAATTTTTAGCACAACCCTTCCACCCATGAGTTTTAAAACTCAAGTTCAGGTTTTTGTGGTTGGCAGTACTGTAAATATATTTGTTCTGCTTTAACAGGAAAAGCATTCTGACTTTTTTAAAATGAGCAATCATATGTATAATCAACTCGGTTAAAACTTCCTTCCTGGTAAGTGCAGCACTTCCTTTGCATCTGGATATGAAGGCGAGCAAGAAAAGCAGAACAACTTAAATAATCAACTTTCTTGATCCTCATTTAAAAAAAATACTTTAAAATTAAACAAATGAGTCTTATTCAGCGACTCATCCTGTGCTTTGTAATCAGGTAATGTTTCAATTTGATTTGGTAATTATAAATATGGTGCCCAGAGATATTTGCTTTCTGAAACATTAAGAACGAATTGTAGTCACCATGTGTTCTGTTGTTACAACAAAACTAACCTGAATGTTCTTACCTTTTTGTTCTAATATTTGCAAGGGCCTGATGAGATTACTGGGGCTTTTTGTAAGCAAATAGAGGGAGGCTTTATGTATAAAAGTTTTTTTCTAAAAAAATGTTGAAATTAAGCAATCTAACAACATAATTTGTGAAGGAGACATTGAAGGGGAACAAATGTAAGTACATCCAGTCAACTTTGCTTTCCTCAGCTGAATACTTTGTAAATAACTTCCACTTTATATGGTAGAACAGAGACTAATTGTGAGTGATAACATTTTTGCTTTCTTAAAATCAGTAAGATTGTCTTAAAATTTCTTTCTGATTTTGTTTGTTTTAGATATTTTCACTTGCTATAAAATGTACTAGAGTGTCATTGGCTTGCAAACATTTTCATCATATTAGGCTAAAATTTAGATGTACATTATATAAGGGATTTTTAAAATAAAAATATCCTAATGCTTTATTATGGAGGGGGGAAACAATCAACAGTTTCGCTTTCTGTGGGGTCCACACAGAAACAATATTTGTTTCCTCTGCTACAATTAACATATTTTTCTCCGGAGCTTACTATGACATCATTCTGTGATACTGGATCACTAACAGCAAAATGTCTTTTAATTGTTAAAATCCATTTGTGTTAATTTCAGCATCATCCAAAATACAGGAGGGGAAAAAAAGTCAATGTTTGCCAAATTCAAAAGAGAAAATTAGTCGGAGCAAAAAAACATTGTCAAGCTTCTAGAGATCAGTTTCTAGTGAAGTCTGGGAGTTTAGGCCCCCGAGGCCCTCACAGGATCAGGTTCACAATTCATAAAATATGTTTGGGTGAATTGTGTTCTATAAATGCACAATTTGAATTAGTTATTGCTGTACCTAATGTTTGGTTTTAAAATTAATAGGTTGATTCAAATAAGCCATCCTGAACAAAAATAGTTTTATTCAGAAACTTTTGGACTATATATTGTATATGTAAAGGTTATGATTAAAGCCTGTAGTTAAACTTAAGAAAAAGAGCTAATGTGTCTGTAGAAGAATACACACAGAAATTAAATGAGAAAGTGATCAAACATTTGTATGTTTTGCTAGATTTCTTCTGGCATGGAGTTGAGGAATTATGAACAGCCTGTTGTAATGAGAGAGGAAAACAAACGAAGGAGAAGAAGAATGAAGCCATACAGCGCAGCAAGTAATTTGTCTTCAATGGAACTGATATCCATTGAGTTCATTCTGCCTACAAACAATAAACACACTAAAATGTCGGAAACAATGTTACTCGAAATAGCTGGCAACTGTACTGTTGAGCAAATGAAAGCACAGATTTGGATGCGTGCAATAGAGATGAGCCAAACCACAGACTTTTACCATAAATTCACCCCAGATCAATTTATTCTTCAATATCAAAAGAAAGGGCAGTGGTATGAAATTTATGACAAACATCAAGTAATACAGACATTGGACTGCATACTGTATTGGAAAGTGTTACAGAAAAAGGTAGGCAAAATTCATGTTGTCCAGAAGGAAAAACCAACAGAGGCGGTTCAGGAATTTCAGACGCAGCTTAATGATTTAATTGGCTATGATGTCACTGATGTTAGTAATGTGCATGATGATGAGCTAGAATTTACGCGTCGCAGATTAGTCACACCACGAATGATTGAAGTAGCCTGCAGAGATCCAAAATTGTATTCAATGCATCCATGGATTACATCCAAGCCACTCCCAGAATATGTGTTTAAAAAGATTACTAATAACCATATTTTTATAATCATACATAGAGGAACAACTAGCCAAAAAATTAAAGTATCAATTGATGACACTCCAGATATGATACTTCAGAGCTTTTTCACAAAAATGGCAAAGAAGAAATCTTTGATGGATATTCCTGAGGATCACAGTGAACTGGATTTTGTTCTCAGGGTTTGTGGCAGAGATGAGTATATCACAGGAGAGACGCCAATCAAAGATTTTCACTGGATAAGACAGTGCCTGAAGAATGGGGAAGAGATCCACCTAGTACTAGATGACCCTCCTGACCCCAAGGAGGATGAGGTTCAGAAAGAAGAATGGCCCTTGGTGGATGACTGCACAGGTGGTACAGGATATCATGAACAGCTGACAATAGACGGAAAAGATCATGAGAGGGTGTTCATTATCTCTTTGTGGGACTGTAATAGAAAATTCAGGGTCAAGATAGTTGGCATTGATATCCCAGTGCTACCAAGAAATACTGAACTTACTGTGTTTGTTGAGGCTAATATTCAACATGGGCAACAACTTCTTTCACAGAGAAGGACCACATCTAAGCCTTTTACTGAGGAGGTTCTGTGGAATACTTGGGTTGAATTTGATATTAAAATTAAAGATTTGCCTAAAGGAGCGCTACTAAATCTACAGATATATTGTGGCAAAGCACAGGCATTATCCACAAAGGTTAGCCTTCAGTCACATGATTCCCCCAACTCCGATTCTAAATGCAAAACTCAGCTACTCTATTATGTAAATATTTTGTTGATTGATCACCGTTCACTGCTACGTAGTGGGGAGTACGTGCTTCATATGTGGAAGATTTCAGGTAAAGGGGAAGAGCAGGGAAGCATCAATGCTGACAAACTTACATCAGCTACCAATCCTGATAAAGAAAACTCAATGGCTATCTCTATTGTTTTGGATAAATATTGCCACCCAATAGCTTTGCCCAAACATAGGATAACATCTGACCCCCAAGGGGATAGGACAAGAGCTGAAATGCCCAACCAGCTTCGCAAACAACTTGAAGCGATCGTAGACACTGACCCACTTAATCCACTTACTCCTGAGGACAAAGAATTACTGTGGCATTTTAGATATGAAAGCATAAAGCACCCCAAGGCATATCCTAAGCTGCTTAGCTCAGTGAAGTGGGGACAGCAAGAAATAGTGGCTAAAACATACCAGTTGTTAGCTAAAAGAGAAGCTTGGGATCATAGCACTTTGGATGTTGGACTAACAATGCAACTTTTGGACTGTAACTTTTCGGATGAAAATGTAAGAGCAATGGCCGTTCAAAAGCTGGAGAGCTTAGAAGATGACGATGTTCTGCATTACCTTTTGCAACTAGTGCAGGTAAGGTATATTTGCATTCCTGAACATTAGTTTCCTTGAATATTTGCATGATCATAGAAATGTTCCAGTGTTATGAATGACCTACTGTTTGAAGTCTTCAATGTTAATCAAAACAGTGCTAGTGAAAGGAATTAATTTAATAATATTCTTAATACATTTACCTTTCATAGCATTCACAGGTTGTGTCTATGTTAACAGTCTTCTTCCAATTTCCCACAGTCAGCTTAGCACCAGTGTAGCTCTAATGATGGAAGCACATCCTAACCACTGGGTTTTCTAATCCTGCTCAGAGCAGGTCTAGATCACATGATAGTTAAAGCACCAGTTGCATAATGATCAGTGGCACTGCAGTCAGAGAGCCCATGTTTCCCTGAGGTAGGGGGACCAGATGTCCTGATTTTATAGGGACAGTCCAGATGCTTGGGGCCTTTGCTTCATAGGTGTCTATTACCCCCTCCCCCCTGTCCTGATTTTTCACACTTGCTATCTGGTCACCCTACCCTGAGGCACTTTTATTGACAGGACACCAGGAAATGTGGGGAGTTTGGCTGGAAGCAACACAGCCACATGGTCAGAGCAATGCACAGGATTTAATAAAGTTATGTCTTCAATTTAACCTTCATTCAGCTTTACACTAAGTGACTGAAACATCAGTGACCGAGTCCGTACCAGTGCTCCTGCTATTGCTGCTACTGTTGGTAATGAAACAATGAAAAGTTTGAAGAAAATGCTAGGTTAGACAAGGCCTGACACACAAGTTTTGGGTTGTGTTTAGGGTCTGCTTGCAGAGTTGTGTGAAGAATCTTTCATGCTGCTGTGCATGCATCTTATCTGGCAATACTATCAATTTTGTACTGTCATGTAATTGTACTTCTCCCTAAAATTTAAAAAGTATAAAACAGCAAAATAAAAGGCATGGCAAGGAACCATGGTTCTGACTCCATACTTAGGATTTATTCATTCACAGAAAATTAGAAAGATCAAAATCAGGGTTTTAATGGAAAGTGAGTTACAATCCTATTTGCTTGAAATATCTCGTATATGGTCTCTTGCTAGCTGTTGTTGCTGAAAGCTTGAGATCAGTTATACGACAAAGCATTTCAGAGATCTGAGTTTGAAAAGGGAAGTTTCTTTCACTTTCACAATAGTTTTCTTTGGGGTGGGAACACTGCACCATTGCAACTTGCAGAACTGAGGGTATTATTGATTGCAGATGAAATTTGTAATAGTGCAATTCAGTTGTGTAAATGCATATTGAGCTTCTCTGGTCCTATTCTGCACCTTTCGAGACCTGGCAGCTCTTTCTCTGTAAAGATTATAAACTCCATAGCAGCAGAGACAACTAAATATCAAGGAACCTATGAGCAAGTTCTGCAGTAACATTGGGCACCTCTGTGGCAAGGGAGCCTGTGGACCTTGTAAGCCGCACAGGTCTAGAGGTAGTTGCTGATTCCTAAGAAAGTGAAGTTAGCGCTTCCAAATTTGCAGGAGCAGGGCTTCTGACAAAGCCTCTATATACTCTCCAGCCTCATCTTCACCCATCTGGAGGTTGGGCTCCCCAGACAGGACGTATGCAATTCAAGGTTTGTAAATTTTAAGGCCAAAAGTTACCACTAAGATTATCTAGTCTGACCTCCCACATAACTACTCCTATGTATACTCTCCTTTAAGATAGCAGACCTTACAGACAAGTCATTGTTTATTTTTAACACATTTTTGCACCCAAATTAGAGGCTCAGTTAATATGCAGGCTGGTGGATACTCGAGTGCATACAATGCAGGATGCTAAGATTTTTCTGTGTGCATTTTCTAAAGAATTTGTTTCAAGACAATATACATTAAAATGATTTTAGGAAGAAATAAACTACTGAGGTATTTTTAGTTTATTTTCAAAACAAAAGGAAAAAATGGGTTAAAACTTTTATTAAATTATAATATACACAATATTTTAATGTAAAACAATATTAGAATGTTTTATTTTATTGCCACCCCCTCATCTGAATGTCTGCGTACTGTCACTATAATGCACCAAGATTCATGAGTGTGACGTTACACTGGATGGCTTTTGTTTGTTAATCATCTGTCACAATAATAATGTGTTTTTGGGTTTTGTTTTTTGTTTTTTTGAGACAGCTAGCATAGAATCATAGAATGCAGTGATCAAATCACATGCAAAGAAACATCAGTGCTTTTTCCAACTTTTTTTTCTCTAAAGACCTATGCTTTTCCATAACATTTTTCCTTTGACAGAGCTCTATTCTGTTGATGCCATCTGTAATTTACACATATAAGAAAATGCAACAAGGTATTATAAATATTTTAAATAAAATTTGTATTTCTTTGATTTTTATATGCATTTTTTAGGCTGTGAAATTTGAACCCTATCATGACAGCGCACTAGCCAGATTTCTACTAAAACGAGGTTTGAGAGTAAGTACTTCAAAATTAAGTAACATTAAAGTTCAGGCATTCTTAAAATTGATTGTTTCTCAGGAGAATGTCATGTATATTAATTTTAGCCTTTTCTCTGCCTTTAGAACAAAAGAATTGGTCACTTTTTGTTTTGGTTTTTAAGAAGTGAGATTGCTCAGTCCATGCACTACCAGCAGAGGTTTGCTGTGATCCTAGAAGCCTATCTTAGGGGCTGTGGAAAAGCCATGCTACATGATTTCATGAAACAGGTTCAGATAATTAAGTTGCTGCATAAAGTCACAATGGATATAAAATCAGTTTCTGCTGAAAAGTACGATGTCACCTCTCAAGGTATTTATTCATAGGTATTGCTTCATTTGTTATGTAATGTGTGTGTCTTTTTGCTCTATGTGTATTAAAACCAAATCAGCAAACAGTATGTTTCTCTGTAATGTCCATAAGAGTAAATTACTACCTCAGCCACTGAGCATCACAGTTAATTCTTCTAAATAGCCATATAAGTTGTGGGTGTCAAAGAAGCCAGTAATATATTCACTTGTGGAAAAGTGCATTAATGCGGAGTTAAGGTTGGAGGCACTCAATGGTGTGCTGTGTTCCTGGGTGCCTTCCAGAACTCAAATGTTGTAAAACCAGGAAATGCAGAATTCAGGTACTCTAATATTCTTCTAATCTAAGGAGTATGTAATGTGACAAGAAAAAACAAAAGACATGCTACCTTGTAATGAAGAGATAAGATGACACCACACAATACAACCTTAACTCCTGTCTCCTTTGTGTATTACTGCAACACTGGTGCAGGTTCAAGTTCATGTACCTCTCCTGGTATAAACAGGAAGCAGTGTGTTCTCAGTGAGGGGTCCTGGGCTCTGAAATTAATTTTCCTTCTTGGTTCATCTGAGCCATGGATGTGGTGTGACCTGATGTTTATGCAGACTTTTCCTAGAGAAGTGGAAGGTTAATTGTAGGGATTAATTAAGGAGCTGACTAGTAGGCTCTTGGGAAAATTACTGGAGGTCTCACTTCCTCTTTTCATGTATTTATTTTTGAGAGAAATAATCAGTGGGTATGAGCCTGGTTAGGTACCCTGTTTTAATTACAATTTGTATTAAAGTTGTGTATATGTTTTATTATGTGCCTAGCACCTGAGATAGGCACAGTGGACAAATTTGAGTGAAACCATACTTTTTTATCTCAATTAAAAGTGAATGGATTTTTAATTCAGCTCATTGATTTTATAAAGGATGACACCTTTCTTCAGATTTACAGTATATTTTGCATATGCTGAAGAAGCACCCATAATAAAACGTAATGTGAAGTCATATTTTTCATTAAATTACTTTCTCAATATATCTCATAAACCAGTTTATGCTCCAGGCTAACAGTCCTGAAACAGTGTTTTGGATTGTAGTAAGTGCGAGGCTTCATTTCAAAGGTCTTGGAGCATTCTTACCCAGGATGAAAGAAATGTTTACTTCATTTATGAATATGCCTCCTCTTTTTTGAACAACTTTCCAGATACTTCATTCCTAGAAGAGAGAATTGCTTTCACTACTATACCTGCACCGTAACATCTTACCAGTTCCTTTTCAGCATTTACCATGCTGAATCAACCACCAATAGGAGCTTGTAACATGACTGGTTCCAGCAGTCAGAAAATCCATTGTGAATAGTGCAACTTCATATCAACACCAGAAAGTGTTCCTTCAGTCCAAAGATCCTGATGTTGTTAATTGAAAAGTAAATTCCAAGTTCCTTTTCTTTGTGAATATCGGCTTTGAAATCCCAGGTCAACTCACCATCCACTAATTCCATGGTGTAAATCGATGTTTCCAAGATAAGCCATTATTGGGGTAGTCAGTTGTGTGAGTAGACCTGAAAAAATGCATAGTGTTCACCTTGGATCACCCAGGTATTTTTTCAGATCCTGCTATGTTTTCACTTTTATCCTGCACTCCTAAATTCAGGAGGAGTTTTGCTGTTTTAAAGACTGTAGGATTGGGGCCATAGTATTTAATAACCTAGACAAACCCTCCTGTGTCATGCCCAGTGTTCAACATGGTGTTTGTTTGGTTTGTGATGCTGACAAACCCCATTAAAAAGTTCTACATTTTAGAAGAAATTTACTTTTAATTATTTTACAAAACACATAGAGAGGCTTCCTCAAACTTCTTTGATCATAACATCTACCTTTTAGGAGGAAACTTGAAGCTTCTGCAGCTCTGGAGAGAGAGAGAGAGAGAGAGAGATTCTGAAATGTCAATCACAGCAATCAGCTTTATGTCCAGCAAGTTGTCTGTCTTATGTGATTTTTTTCTTTTCTTTTCTTCTCTTCCACTCTCTCCAAAAATAGTGTAATATATAACAGGACCTGAAAAGAGTACTTGGGTGATCAAGTGTGACTGCTCTGCATTTTTCAGGCCTACTCACATGACTGACTGTTCCACTAACGACTTATCTAAGTTTGTTTTTACAAAAAGAAAAGGAGTACTAGTGGCACCTTAGAGACTAACCAATTTATTTGAGCATAAGCTTTCGTGAGCTACAGCTCACTTCATTGGATGCATTCAGTGAAAAATACAGTGAGGAGATTTATATACACAAAACATGAAAAAATGAGTGTTATCATACACACTGTAAGAAGAGTGATCACTTAAGATGAGCTATGACCAGCAGGAGAGTCTGGCGGGGGGAGGGGGAGAGTATCTTTTGTAGCGATAATCAAGGTGGGCCATTTCCAGCAGTTAACAGGAACGTCTGAGGAGGGGTGGGGGTGGGGGAAATAAACATGGGGAAATAGTTTCACTTTGTGTAATGACACATCCACTCCCAGTCTCTATTCAAGCCTTAGTTAATTGTATCCAGTTTGCAAATTAATTCCAATTCAGCAGTCTCTCGTTGAAGTCTGTTTTTGAAGTCTTTTTGTTGTAAACCAGTCGGAGAACACTTCAATCTCTCTGGTCACTTGATTACAGACCTAAAAGTCGCAATATTACAACAAAAAGACTTCAGAAACAGACTCCAATGAGAGACTGCTGAATTGGAATTAATTTGCAAAATGGATACAATTAATTTAGGCTTGAATAGAGACTGGGAGTGGATGTGTCATTACACAAAGTGAAACTATTTCCCCATGTTTATTTCCCCCACCCCCACTGCTGGAATGACACATTCCTGTTAACTGCTGGAAATGGCCCACCTTGATTATCACTACAAAAGACCCCCCCCCCCAACTCTCCTGCTGGTCATCTTAAGTGATCACTCTCCTTACAGTGTGTATGATAACACCCATTTTTTCATGTTTTGTGTATATAAATCTCCTCACTGTATTTTCCACTGAATGCATCCGATGAAGTGAGCTGTAGCTCACAAAAGCTTAGGCTCAAATAAATTGGTTAGTCTCTAAGGTGCTGCAAGTACTCCTTTTTCTTTTTGCGAATACAGACTAACACGGCTACTACTCTGAAACTTTGTTTTTGAAAATACTGGATACGTTGCTTTAACTACCGCCTTTAGAAGTGTGTCACTGCCGAGTTACTCTTACTTGTTAAGAAATGCTTCCTAACGTTGTTCCCAAACTTTTTCTTCCTTTAACTTCAGTCTGTTGCGCCTTTTGCCCACCATCTTCATTGACTATTTATTTATATTGTCAGTCTGAATGTGTTGGATCACATCTTCTCTTTTCTAGTCTTTTCAGTCTTTCAATCTTATCCCCTAATTTTTTTATCTCTTTTTTTTTTTTTATCTTCCCTCAGTTTAGGTACACAGTATTCCAGGTGCAGTATCACCATGGTTATATAGGGTAATATTTCCCTCACCTTTCATGTCAGAATCCCTATGTTTACATCCAATTTTTTTTTGCTACAAGGGCAATACACTTCAATCTTATACTTGTTTTGCTATCTGCTTTCGTCCCTGGGTCTGCATAATTGTTTTCTAAATATCTTCAAAATAGGTATCTGTGCAATTGTTTCCTCTCTCTAGGTTCCAGTTCTGAGTTCTTAAACTAGATCAGCTGGGAAATCTTATTATTTATAAATACTTATGTTTTTGTTTTTGTTTTTAAATCAGCTAGTTCCAAACCTTTACTGTGATTACTTTAAGTAACTGGTATACAGTTTCTTAATTATGTGGTTTTATATCAAATAGCTTATTGAAATTGAGATGCTATATCCTGAGCACCTTTGTGTTGTAAATCAATAATTACATTGTAGAAAACTATTATATTTATTTGAGAAGGCCTATTTTAATAAACCCTAGTTTCTCCTTAAAGAAAGGTGTCTAATTATAATGTTCACATATTTACTCCTTTATCTTGCACTCAGATATTTTTCCCAGAATAGGTTTCACACTAGTCATCTGGTATTTTCTGGGCCCTTCTTTCCTAAAAGCCTCAAAGATAGGTGTCATTTGTTTTTTATTTTTTTCAATTCCTGGGTGACTCTTAATTTACTGAACTTTTATAGCAAAGATTTTGAGATTTTTCTCTGTTAATATTTTAAAAATTCTAGGTGTGTCTAGCTTCTTCATTTTCCAATGTTCCTTTGTTTCCCTTCTAATTTTCCTCCTTTTTTGAGGGTATAATTATTTATATAGTGCCATCAATATGGGGAGCGCTTGAATAGCTAGAACTTGTGCATATAGAAATCCCTGTCTTATTTTCTTTTTCTTTTAAATTGGTGTCTTGTTTGTTTAATATACAAGAGAAGTACTTCCCAGCATATTGCAGAGAGGGATTGTGACTGGCTAGCTAAGATGGAGCAATGTGTATTTCATATAGTATTAACCATTCCTATTTAAACTGAAGGATCAGAAATCTGGAGGGGCTATGAATGAATTTCATAATTTACATATATGCATATAATGCCTTATTTACATAATCAGCAGATGTTCTGTTTGCTAGAATTTAAAACGGACAAAGCTGCAGTATGGAACATTCTTTAAGAATATAGTAATTGCTTTGCCCCTGGCTGGTCCTTGAGGCTCTGCCCCTGGTTGCTTCTTGCCCTGGACTGGATGGAGGGCTGTGGTCAGTTGCTCACTCCTGGTGCTGGCTGTTGCCCTGGACTGGGTGAGGGATCTGCTGCTGAATGCCATCAGTTTGGGGGATACTCTGACTGAGCTGCTAGCCCTTAGTTGTAACTATTCCTTGCACCCTGGCTTGTGAGGTTGGGAGCTCTAGCTGCAATTGCCTGACTGCGGCTGGAAAGCCCAGGAGGTCACAGAGTGTGAGCTAGAGCACTGCCCAGTATCACTATAGCTGTAGCTCCAAATCTGTGGCCAGGTGTGGGTTGGGGGAACTATGCTCTAGGGAGGCTATGTCTCTGGTTAGAGTCTTCATGGCTTCAGTAGTATTCACACTAAGCATCCAAAAATCATGAGATGGGCTTAAAAATAATGAGATTTGTTTAAAAAGTTGTGCTCTTGTATTTGTCTTCTCGTTTTGAGCCTTTAGGGGGTCATGTTTTCAGGCTTTTTGGACAATGATGCAGGCTAGAAACTTTTTTTTAAATGAAAGATGAGATTCTCATATAATCACCCGAGTCCAAGAGTTGGAAAAACACCAAATTCCACAAGACTTGTGGTAACATCATGAGAGTTGGTAACACTGTGACTGGCTCTCTATGGTTAGACACCTGAGAACATTTAACCAGAGAGAGCATCCCTAACTATAGAATCTCCTTGGATTTCCAAATCAGAAGAACCTGCTAGAAGGTCTTAGGCGTAAGCAGGTCAAAAAGGTAGCTAAAAATAAGAGCCTTGCATCCAAATTCTGAGACTTAAAAGGTCTAATTAACTGTAACTTTCTGCTTCTAACTTTTGAACTCAATAATGGTGATTTCTTTTTTGCAATTACAGTTATCACACAGCTGAAACAAAAGCTTGAAAAACTGCAGAACAGCAAACTTCCAGAAAGCTTTAGAGTTCCATATGACCCTGGGCTGAGAGCAGGAGCACTAGTGGTAAATAAATTTGATTATTTATACATTCTTCATGGTTTGAAAATCTCTTATCTGCAAATATGTGTGATTTACAAATCTGCCTCTTGATTTACAAATCATGTACCCAAAAGTCTTGACTTCACTTCTGCGATAGATATCCTCATTTATGGTTTTACCTCAGTTCACTTTGACAGCTCTATCTTTTCTGTGGTCTTTATGATTCTTTGCTCTCACCTTAAGCAAGTATATGCAGAAGGCTGCTGCTTACCTCATATTTAAGGAGAAACATGATGACGAAACACTAATCCTCAAACAGCAATTCTGGCTCCCCATTAATTTCAGGATCTAGTTAGAAACTGGCTTTCTTGTATCTAAAAACTTCTATAGACTTATTCCAGTCTTCTTCACTTGCTTTGTATCTGTTTTGTCCTCCAGTTACTCCCCTTACCTGTGACGGATCACAGGCCTCAAACCTGGGTCCATGGGTCCCCAGGCAGCACTCAGGCCACGACTGCCCCCCGCAGCTCACCTGAGTAACTAGGGACAGGTTCAAGGAAGGTCTAGCTTGCAGAGGGCCCTGCCCCAAAACACTGGGGGAAACATCCAGACCCCCAGCTGGCTAAGGAGCACAACATAAACCAGGAAGTAACTACAGGAAGTTGTGCGAGCAAGTAGCGGAATCCTTGGCTGGCTGTGACTACCTCGGCTTACCTGACTCCTGCATTACTTCCTGTTCCTGTTTCCTGCTTCCCTGCCTGCTCCTGGTTCCTGTCCTCCCATCCCAGACCCCTGTCTACTCCCAGTTCCTGCTGTCCTGCTCTACTTTGGCCCCTGCTGCTCTGCCTTACCCCTGATGCTGTCCTCAGCTCTGATCCCTGGCCTACCACCCGACTTTGTCTCCAGCGCTGACCTTCAGCTTCGTACCTGACATTGTCTTTGGTTTTGACCCTCTGCTCTAACCATTAGGCCTGATTCCTGCTCCAACCACTAGGTCGGACTGCCCATGCCCCAGTCATTGCACTACCCATCTTATACTGATCTGTCCCCTGCATCTCCCCATCATTGAGCCATTGTAGATACAAAAGTCTTCTCCTCTGCCATTTAGAATAGACTTTCTGTATCTCTTCAATATACCAAATTGCTGTTTTATTTCAAATCTCAGCTTAAAAGTTCCTTTCATTGCCTTTTTCTTTCTCTCTGCCTTGAGTTATTACCTTATTTTTGTAAGTATCATTTAATTCTGAAAGCATTTTAGGATAGAGTTTGTGATGGTGATACAGAAAATAATCTATTGCACTGTGTAGGAAGAAAAGCACTGATGGCTTTGTATATGCAGAAGTGTTACGTTTATCCAAATACAATAAAAGCAATCACGGTGTGGACCTTCCTTCTAACATAACTAATTCAGTCTCAATCTATTTTGTGTAAAATGGCCGGTGGTGTAAAAGTCTCTACATTCATACTTCATTAATGAAAATGTTGTATACTGTAAATACCTAAATAGACAGTAAATGCTGGTCACTGCAACATGATCACAGACACGTGTCTACCAAATTAAGAGGTTGATGTGGTATGACTATAGAATCAATTAAGCAGTTGATGGGCTATTCAGATACTGTAGATCAGGGGTCTTAAACACACGGCCCGTGGGCCAGCTATTTCCTGCGGCCCGCCAAGCAGCCCACCCCCGGCCTACCTCCAGGCCAGGGGTGGGCAAACTACAGCCCATGGGCCAGATTGCTCCCCAGTGGCCCCGCGCTGCTCCCTGAAGCAGCCGGCACAACGTCCCTGCAGCCCGGGGGGCAGCAGAGCGCTCCGTGCATTGCCATGGCTGCTGGGCACCCCCTCCCGCATCTCCCATTGGCCGGGAACGGGGAACTGTGGCCAATGGTGTGACATCAGAAGGCAGATAGACAGTTACTCATGGTCTGTCCCTTTCTTTCATTCCTTGGACACTAAACTCAAAGTAATGTGTGAACAAAGAAATGTTTATTACAGTGGTTACTTTAGTCCATTGTGAGTTCCACTTTCCATTCAAACACATTTTTTCTATTTTCTCATAAATTTAAGACCCTTTTGGGCTGAAATTTTCAATATTTAGTCTCTCATGCATTCTTAGCCATATATTGCATCATGTGTGTCATGATTGGCTTGGTTACTTTTCAGGAACGAATCCCTGTACAGCATGCTCTATCCATGTGCTGTTCATGTGGGGCCTGATCTTTACATTCCAAGTTTATCTTGTCCGTTGTCTAGCATCAGTGTTCCAGCTTATTTTAGCTAGCACAGACCACCTGATTCCAGGATACTGCTTGGTAAGCCCCTATTTACAACTTAACCTTCCATTCATCTTCCCAATCATGCCCACTAAGAAATGAGGCAAGTTATGGCAAGCCAGGCCTACATTTCCACTCCTTTAATGTTCTTGTTTTTTATGTTAGTATTTGTTTCATTTGTGTCCTATTCCATCTTTGTGTTCTTTTTCAAGTTTACTAACCAGCAACACATCGCCAAAACCACAGTAGTTGTAATAATTTGAACTACCATTAATATTAGGCTCAAAGTATGAAGCAGGGGATGCAACTTCACCTCTGCAGGTAGAACCCAGCAGGATCTAATCCCACACTATAAGCTTGCTCTGCCTTTAAAGCATCCTTTGGTAATTTTAACGTTGCCACCACACAATACTTGTCATCACCTACATAGGCAGTTTTTACCTTACCAACATCCCAGCATCTCAGCTGTACTGTGCAATTGGAAGACTATTCCCACAGAGTGAACCCACATGCTGGCAACTCTTACACCTGCACATGTAAGTGCCCTCCAGGTGCAAGCAGAAGTACAAGTCTGGAGCTTTCTGGACTTTGCATTGTCTTGCAACAGTATTTGAGGAGGGAAAATAAAACTTCTTCCACACCGGACGAGTTGTAGTGCTTTTCACATTTAACTTCATGTTATTGGACCCTTGTTAAATTTCTTACCCTGTATCAATTAATATTACATCCCTTGTACCAATTTTTTAACATTTCTGTGGGGATAAAATAGGGCAACCCTCTTTGTTGTCACTTAAGGCCTCTTTTACCTTACATAGTATGTCATTGTTTTTGCCTTTTATCTTTCATGATAAATTAACTTTATCTCGTACATTTAAAAAAAACCATTTACAACATCCTACGTTTAAAATTCTTTATCGATAAATTTTTTGCTTTGTTGATTTTCAAAATGCAGTACTCTAGATGCTAATTCTGGCTGAAACCCTTGCTCATGTAACAGTTGCAGTACTTCTGCTGCTAGCTTCTGTTGATATGCTTGTTCATGTTCCCACAGCCTCTCTGTCAACCATGTGCAACGCGTGAGCCACCCATTTGGAGACACTAGCCTCTGGCCCCACCCCTTGTGCCTGAGACCCACCCCTGTCCCACCAGAGCCCCGAGTCCCCTACCGCAGCCACCTGCCCCCCAGCCTCAGGCCACCCTGCCCGAGCGCCCCCAGTCCCAGGCCACAGGCCGTCCCGCCCTAGTCCCAGCCCCAGCCCACTTTGGGGAAGAGGAGCAGCCTGCCTGGGCTGGGGCCATGGGGGAAGTGGTGGGAAGCAGGAGGGGGCCTCGGGATGGAGCATGGGTGGGGCCACACCTGGCTGGGGAGGCTCAGCCTCCCCTGGTTTGTGATACCTGTCACTGATGATGTCATCTTGGTTTCAAAGTGATATACCAGTCCCAAAAAGCTCAACTCCCATGTCAGGATCCCTCCAGGTTTTGTTGCTTCCTGACCTTGACAGGATTATGCATTTTAAAAGTTTACTTTTTTGTGCATGAAGTCCTTTTAATCGTTTTAAACGATTTTTGAGCAAACCCCTGTGATGGCAGATTGGTGAAATTCAATAACAATTGGCACATTAATAAACTAAAATTTACTAAGAAATATGTCCTTAATTTAACCCTAAGCCATTAGTTGGATTTTGTTTAAAATCTAGGCTATTTCAATCTTTTATATAATTGCTTAGTTTTCCATTTACAAAACACTTCCATATAGGTTTTTACTTTTTAATTAAATTTATTTTGCACTACAATTAAACAAAACTTTTGGATAAAAGCGTTAATACTTTAGATTCATTTCTTATATTCACTGATCTTGCTTGGTACTGGGTTGATTTCTGCTTCCAAAGCGCACAGCCATCTGAAAAAGAGAAAACAACCTATTGTGGCTCCTATTTGGAGCCTTTATATGGTTTTAATTAATTTACATTTGTTTTATCTCTCTTACGAGACATGCTGCATGTACCATGGGAATCTTCCATAGTGCATCTCTCACCCTTTATTTGCCATAAGATCTTGTTAGGCATATTAATTTTCACATCAAGTGTAACTGTTTGTTTTGTGAATAAAAAGTTTCCATGTACCCCTATGAAAACGATTGTCTGTCTGATTACTAGAGCCATCTTAAGGCTCAGTGTTCAAAACATTGCTACTCCTTTAACAATGCCTCCCACCCTCCCATACACACCTTTGCTGTTACTCCAGAGGTTTACTGTCTCTTTAATTTTTCATTTTCATCTTGCAGCTCTTTCGGCTGCTGATTCATTACAAGAGGATGCAGAGTCTCTCACTACTTTCTTGGTTCTGGCCATTCCTGCCACAGCCGCAATCATGTGCTCTAGCCCTTATTTAAAAAGATGCTGAACTTCATAAAAACACTGAGGTAACAAAGCCAAATGACACAAGCTACATGTGCTTGGCTTCAGTGGGGGGAGGGAAGAATTTAGCAAAGACTACCAGCAAGTCTTGGCAGCTGCTCAAAAAGTGCCTGTCAGTGTTTGCAACTTTGAATCAAAGATTGAAATGGATTTTTAGTAGAATCTTTTAAAAGCCAATTTATTTTTGACCTACAAAATAGGATTTTACAAACCAGGAGTGTTTGTTTAGGTCCTTAAAACCTTATATAATTACACAAATATATTTGCGTTTCTTTTAAGTATTTTAATCAACACCACTTGTTTTGCTCTAATTATATTTTACAAACTGTACCCTGACTACATTCCCTACGTGTACATTTGGAGACAGCCACGTTCAAATGGAAACCCCTTATTTCTTTTTAGTGATTTTGACTAAATTGTCCATAGTCCAATGATTCAAATCAGAGTGTCTCTTTGCCTAAGGCAGTCCTTTACAATTGATTATTTATAGACCATTCAATGGCCATTCTCCTTCGGAATGACTGTAAAGATTCCTGGGGACAAAAGCACAGTGGTGGTAGTTGTCACCACCTGACCTCCCCTTGTGTAATTTGTTTGACTACCAGGGTTCCACTAGGCAAGACTGGACCAAGTTGTACTGCTGTAACCAGGTTTTTTTATCAAACCAAGCATTCTCTTTTCCCTTACTGAATGTTACGCCCAATACCTTTACTATACCAGCCTGCTTAATCCTTTAAGCACGCTAACGTTTTTAACATCTGCATAAATATTCCGTTTAACTCCTCACTCTCTTTCCTTAAATCACTCACTTAGCTCCCAAAAAAGAAAAGGAGTACTTGTGGCACCTTAGAGACTAACAGATTTATTTGAGCATAAGCTTTCATGAGCTACAGCTCACTTCATCGGATGAAGTGAGTTGTAGCTCACGAAAGCTTATGGTCATATAAATTGGTTAGTCTCTAAGGTGCCACAACTATTCCTCTTCTTTTTGCGGATACAGACTAACATGGCTACTACTCTGAAACTTAGCTCCCAAAGTGACACATTTCTTAGCCAATTTCTCTTCATGAATCTGATCTGATCTTTGTGCTTGTTTGCATTCATTCTTTAGCTACAATTACTGTTCTCTTCATGGTCTCCCATTGGTCTTATTCTTTAAAGTTTCAGTGTCATTCAACATATACCTTTGTCGTGCTCTGCCAGACATTTCTTTCTATAGAAATCCAAAGTAGCTCCCTCTATTCCCTGTATGTTACTTAATTTCTCTTTAGGAGAGACTTCTGTATAATAATTTAATAACATGGTTTTTTGTTTCTATTTCTTGCATTTCTTGTCTAACACTACTTATTGGAGTTCCTTGTCTACCTGGTTCCAGTCCCCCCTGTAATTTCTTTGGGGGAGTCGATAGGGACCTCCTTTAGATCTAATCCACTCCTCCAGTGCCCCGAAACCTGAAATTTACATCCTTCCAATGCCATTGCTAAACTTTTGGGTTGTGATCCTTGCAAGTAAAGCTACATATATAATAAACTATACATTACCTGCTCCAGATGAATTGAATCCGAGTCACTGAACCACTATATTGGTGTTTTCCTGAGACCTCTTCCACTCAGTTCCCCAAGAACTCAGTTCGACTCCAGTCTCTTCACTCATGTTCCTTTCTGTGGCATACAGCAAAGCTATGTTGACGACAAGTGCAGGGGGTGGGTATATTATAGGGCATACCACACATCCAAATTTACACAGCGAAACTTTACCTTATACGTACACATTTTCACTAACACAGACTACATATGCATTCTTAGCCATACATTGCATCATATGCGTCATGATTGGCTTGATTACTTTTCAGGAACCAATCCCTGTACAGCATGCTCTGTCCATGTGGTGTTTATGTGGAGCCAGATCTTTACATCCCAGGTTTATCTTGTCCCTTGAGACTTGATACAGATTTGTACTTACAATTGATTTAGCTTCAGATGCCCGCAAAGATGTAATTTTCTTGTTCAAAGTGTGTTCATGGTTTTTAAAATACCATGTTTCACTGATGTTTAAAATAGAATCAAACAGAATCCAGAGACATAGGACCCAGTTCACTCAAAATGAAGTCCATAGGAGTCATTTCTGGGGGGAGAGGGGAAGGTAATTAAATGTGTGTTTCTACTCTGCAAAGTAACAGTAAAACTGCTATTGTGGGTTTCCATGCTTATTGTCTCCCTGTGATTTCAGAATCTCATATTCTTGGTTCACAGTTCAGAAGATGATGCTGTTCATTTTTTAACGGCCAATTCTATAAATTTAGTCTGTGCTTTGAGTCAAGCTGGGTTCTTTCCAGCTCATGCACCATCACTAGTATTAAAAGTTCTGCAAGCTAAATTAGGCCTTCTCTGGCAACTGAATAACACCTTTCTCCCTGAACCTTTAAATGTGTTTCCACAGGCATAACTGATTGGAATTTTGTAAACAATGTGGTGTTGATGCATAAAAAGGAATAGAATCTGCAGCTAATTCTATGTTAGCTGTGTTGACTCTGATGTGCCAACAGGAGTAAAAAGCTTAGACAATGAATTCATCTTTTACAGATTGAAAAATGCAAAGTAATGGCATCCAAGAAAAAGCCACTTTGGCTTGAATTTAAATGTGCAGACCCCACAGCCCTATCAAATGAAACCATAGGCATTATCTTCAAACATGGAGATGACCTTCGCCAGGATATGCTTATTTTACAGGTATGATTGCTAAACTGCTATGTGATATGTATAAGAGCCATGTGAATAAAGTATTGTTGGAAAAAAAACCAAACCTTTACCTGTCAAATATGTATGTAAATTGTATTTATGGTACACTTGAAACATGAACTTATTATTTATTAAATCATACTATGGTACTGCTTAGAGGCCCCAACCAGGACTAGGGCCTCCATTTTTTTTATGTCATATTGGTACTTTATGTCACCTTTGCACCTCGTTCCTCCTGTCCTATTCCTCCTGCATGCATTTGGCTAGATGGTAGAATTGAGACTGAGTTTCTTTCATAAATTTCACACCTTAACTATCCTACAAAATTTAATCTGTCATTTTGGCCATTATGATCCATTTCCCACTAAAGGAAAAACATATTTTTTGTAAACTTACAAAGATAAAAGAGAGTGACAGATTGCATTTCTCCTATATGACTTTGCTGGTTGGTCTGATGATGGTGTTCCAATCGACCGGTTTACCAATATTAGCATTTTTTGAGGATGTACTTAGAAGTTGGTGTTTCGTAATGTGGTCAGTTCTTGTCTGTTAAAATATGGTATACAATAAATGTGTATGTTTTATCAGGGAGAGGGGCATGATGTGAGGATAGGACTGAGAGCCAAGAAGTATAACGTTCTAATTCCAGATCTGCCACTGACTATCTCTGTGGCCTCAGATGGATCATTTATTCTTTCTGTCTCCGTTTCTCCATCTGTAAAATGAGATAATGCTACTGACTTGTCTCACAAGATTATGGAACGGGTTAATTAGTTATTTTGTAAAGTGTTTTTGAAGATGGAGTGCTATAAAATGTATATTGTTTTTATGACTAGATTCTTCGAATTATGGAATCCATTTGGGAAGCAGAATCCTTGGACCTGTGTTTGTTGCCATATGGTTGCATTTCTACGGGAAATAAAATAGGTACAGTACACTTGATGAGATCAGTAGATTTCAGAATGTCATTGTGGTAACAAATAACAAAAATTATACATAAAGTTTATATTGTATGTCTCTGTGTAAGTCATGGCTCTAGGGTGAGCCTTACTTTTGACCCCTCTCTCAGTCCCTCCCTAAGCATCGCTTTCAAGTTGATAGGCCCAGCACTTGCATTTCTCTGAATGGAATCACCACCCCTGTTTACCCAAACTGGGTTTGGCCCCTGCTATATGCTTCCCCCCGGGAGCTGTCATCAGTATGACAATGCAATGACACCAATCAGCTTCCTCAAAGCAAAGTGTTATTTATTTATCCGTAGGTACACAGCAATTAGAGAAAGATGAGTTAAAACAACATGAAGCCCATACACCTATTGTCTTACCGAAAGCTTCACATTTTCTCCAAGATGTTGGTTGGCCTGACTTATCCCTGGAACCCCCACTCTTCTGGGAGACAGGTTACAATTTGTTTTTCTGCAGACCCTGTTTTTCTCCATCTCTCCTGAACTTCAGGGGGTGTCCTTTTTAAAATCAAACTCGCTCCTTTGTTCTTTGTGTCCATGCCCCCATCCCCTCATTGCCAAGGGAGTACTGTGTCCAACTTTGACAGGGACAAAACTTCAAAGGCCTTGACACCAGTATTATTTGTTAAACAATGATGACTGGGGCTGTCTAAGGCTTGATCTATACTGGTGACTTCTGCTGGTACAGCTATGTCACTCAGGAGCGTGAAGAAGTGTGACCCCTTACTGACATAGAATCATAGAATATCAGGGTTGGAAGGGACCTCAGGAGGTCATCTAGTCCAACCCCCTGCTCAAAGCAGGACCAATCCCCAATTTTTGCCCCAGATCCCTAAATGGCACCCTCAAGGATTGAACTCACAACCCTGGGTTTAACAGGCCAATGCTCAAACCACTGAGCTATCCCTCCCCCCCATAGCTATGTCAACAAAAGCCCCTAGTATAGATGTAGCTATCCCAGCAAAACTGCACGTTTACTGGAATAGTTTGTTTCACTTGTGAGGATAGTTTTTACTATTCCACCACAAAATGCAGTTTCGCTGGTGTAGCTACATCCACACGAAGAGTGCTTTGCCAGTATAGAAATACCAGTAAAGTGATTCTAGTGTAAACATGGCTGTAGCTTAATCTTCACTTAAAAGTTTTGCCAACATAGCTATGTTGGTTAGGAGTGGGGGGAAGTCACCTCTAACTGACACAGCTATGCTAGCAAAAATCCCAGTGTACACAAACGGTTATACCAGCAAAAAGTTATACCTTTTGCGCTGGTGTACCTTATTCCATTTGGGGAACAGGTTTAAGCTATGCTGGCAAAAGAAGTCTTTTGATGGTACAAGCTGCATCTCCACTACAGGGTTTGTCAGTATAGCTATACTGGCATTCCTTTTTAAGCCAAGGACTAAAGTAATTAACTTTGGTTTCCTGGAGACACGCAGACCTTCCCAGGACTGAGTTAACTTTTTGCACCCACATAGCAGATGACAGCATGATAGTAATCAAATAGGCAGAGGTCTACATAATATTCACAGAAAATAATACAGGTATTTCCCACATTCTTCACAATACACTTTTTTTTTTAAACTTTCCTCTTCCCCCCCTGCAACAGAAACTGCTTTATAGGCAGAATAATATGAAAGCAGTACTGCTAAAATTAAGAATTCTCTAAAGTAATTTTTCTAAAAGCTAAAAATATGTGGCATAGAGAATATGTGATGTTGCAGTGGAAAGATTTCATCAAGGTTGCTTTGCGGTCACCTGCATTACTCATTCATGACTTCATGATTTCTGAGAAATGCAGCAGTCCCAAATGCATGCTTATGAAAATGCAGGATGTTTCTATATAAAGGATATTTCTCTTTCTTGATACATATTATGTTTTTAAAATCAGAGATTACTATTCAAATTATATAAAATGAAAATCAAAGGAAATGAAACATGAATGATATGTGAAAATATTACTTGATACATGTATTTTACCATTAATTGTTAATGTTAAAACGTTTTCAAATTTTGCGGCCTCTTCGTTAGACCCTTTTTTAAGAAAACATATTATTTTCCAGAAGCTGTAAGACTGAATTTTATTCCATATAAATTTATCTTAAAACTATCCAATAACGTAAAAATAGAATTGCAGGGGGGAAAAATCTGCCAGTTATTACAAGGTCCTTAAACTCAATTTATAGCTCACATTACTCTCTCTTCTTTTATGGGTTTTTAGTATGCTCCCAATTTTTTATTTCAAGAAAATATATTCTTTTGTACTTCATAGATTCCCCTTTCCATGTGATGGATCTAAGAATTGTGTACCCCTCCATACCACAAAAAAAAGGAGATTGTTGGTCAAATGAAGGGACAGTCTCAGCTCATTACTGTATGTTTTCTCAGGTTAAACTAGTGTTCTTCAATATGTGACTCTTTGGTGCACCACTTTGAGGTCTCCTGGAGGTTACATTCTCTTGGACTAAAACCAGAGGGTCATGATAGGCAAGTGGTCTGCCAGAGCATTCACTTGCAGATTTCCCCAAATCTCATTTTTCTCCCCAATGTTATTCAACTTATATATGAAGCTGCTGTTTGTGAGCCAACACAGATTGAAGTTCCAGCAATATGGAGACTACTCAGTTCTAAATTCCCTTAACATCAAATATAGAAAAGAACCGTTTTTCAGTACCTGGATGGGAGAGCAGCCAGCTGAAGCCGGATGCAAGCAAAATCAAGATGATTTTGGTGGGAAGAGGGAAGCACTTTGAAGGACTCACTTCATGTGTAGTGCCTCAAGATCAAGTCTGCAGCCTTGCGGGCCTCTGCATTCCTCACTGCTAATGAATGCCCAAACAGTCCCTGCTCTAAAAGACACTCTCTCTGATGCATTGTTGGCCAGAATGCTGCATCTTATTGTGTCAGACTCAGATGTGAGCAGGGGGATGCACGTGCTTGTGACCACTGGATGTGATTATTGCTGATCATTATACCTGTGAATGAAGCTGCCAGCTCTGAAGAGGCTCCATCTGTTACAGAGTGTAGAAAGGTTTCAGAGTAGCAGCCGTGTAAGTCTGTATCCGCAAAAAGAAAAGGAGTACTTGTGGCACCTTAGAGACTAACAAATTTATTTGAGCATAAGCTTTCGTGAGCTACAGCTCACTTCATTGGATCCATAGAATGGAACATATAGTAAGAAGAAATATATATACATACAGATAAGTTGGAAGTTACCATACAAACTGTGAGAGGCTAATTAGGCAAGATGAGCTATTATCAGTAGGAGAAAAAACCTTTTGTAGTGAAAATCAAGATTGCCCATTTGGACAGTTGACAAGAAGGTGTGAGGATACTTAACTTTAGGGAAATAGATTCAGTATGTGTAATGACCCAGCCACTCCCAGTCTCTATTCAAACCCAAGTTAATGGTATCTAGTTTGCACATTAATTCAAGCGCAGCAGTTTCTCCTTGGAGTCTGTTTTTGAAGCTTTTCTGTTGCAAAATTGCCACCCTTAAATCTTTTACTGAGTGGCCAGAGAGGTTGAAGTGTTCTCCTACCGGTTTTTGAATGTTATGATTCCTGATGTCAGATTTGTGTCCATTTATTCTTTTGCGTAGAGACTGTCCAGTTTGGCCAATGTACATGGCAGAGGGGCATTGCTGGCACATGATGACATATATTACACTGGGAGATGTGCAGGTGAACGAGCCCCTGATGGCGTGGCTAATGTGATTAGGTCCTATGATGGTGTTACTTGAATAAATATGTGGACAGAGTTGGCATCGGGCTTTGTTGCAAGGATAGGTTCCTGGGTTAGTGTTTTTGTTGTGCGGTGTTGGTTGCTGGAGAGTATTTGCTTCAGGTTGGGGGGCTGTCTGTAAGCGAGGACTGGTCTGTCTCCCAAGATCTGTGAGAGTGAGGGATCATTTTTCAGGATAGGTTGTAAATCTTTGATGATGCGCTGGAGAGGTTTTAGTTGGGGGCTGAAGATGGCAGTTAGTGGTGTTCTGTTATTTTCTTTGTTGGGCCTGTCCTGTAGTAGGTGACTTCTGGGTACTCTTCTGGCTCTGTCAATCTGTTTTTTCACTTCAGCAGGTGGGTATTGTAGTTTTAAGAATGCTTGGCAGAGATCTTGTAGATGTTTGTCTCTGTCTGAGGGATTGGAGCAAATGCGGTTCTATCTTAGAGCTAGGCTGTAGACAATGGATTGTGTGTGGTGCGTCCTTCAACCTCTCTGGCCACTCAGTAAAAGATTTAAGGGTGGCAATTTTGCAACAGAAAAGCTTCAAAAACAGACTCCAAGGAGAAACTGCTGCGCTTGAATTAATGTGCAAACTAGATACCATTAACTTGGGTTTGAACAGAGACTGGGAGTGGCTGGGTCATTACACATATTGAATCTATTTCCCTAAAGTTAAGTATTCTCACACCTTCTTGTCAACTGTCCAAATGGGCAATCTTGATTATCACTACAAAAGTTTTTTTTCCTCCTGCTGATAATAGCTCATCTTGCCTAATTAGCCTCTCGCAGTTTGTATGGCAACTTCCAACTTATCTGTATGTATGTATGTGTGTGTATATATATATATAATTTTCTTCTTACTATGTGTTCCATTTTATGCATCCGATGAAGTGGGCTGTAGCCCACGAAAGCTTATGCTCCAATAAATTTGTTAGTCTACAGAGTGTAGAAAGTACCTGTTTAGCAACACAGATTACCAGAAGCACATCAACCCGGTGCTTTCCTCTGTGCACTGCCTCCCTGTGAAACAGAGTCAAATTCAAGTGCGTTTTCCCAGTAATCAACACGCTCAATAGGATTGGCCCTAGCAACCTAAGAGATCACCCCTCCCTCTGACTGGCCTCCCAGGATAGCTGTGTTCCACTGGAACCACAAAAGAGTTGACCAACAGAGGGAGGCTTTTGTGCACAGGAGAGATTTCCGTCTTAATAGCTGGACCAAGTGACTGGAATTCACTTCCATGTGAGATAAGAGTGGCTGTGAACATCACCATGTGCAAAGCAAAATGTAAAATTCATTATACTTTAACTTCACTGTATCATAATAATTGTTACTTTAAAAAAAAACTACACACATGCTCCGAATTAAATAGTTATTTCCTCCCAGTAGGAGGATTTGGCAGAGAGTATGGGGGGAGGAAGAGATTACTATGTTGTCTTTCTCTTATTTGTGAGGCCCTCAGAGACTATGGTAACAAGTTCAGGCTAAGAACCGAGACAGATAGAAATGTGTACTCAGGCAGAGCATGCAGGATGCTGAGCACAGGAGTGTTCCCCATGCTGCCAGAAACTTGAGGCAGTGCAGGGAGCACAGCACAAAAGAACTGGAGCCATCAGGAATCTCTCCCAGGGATCGGAAAGGGAAAGAGAAAAGAAAACTATCCCGATATTCCTTCCTAGTATCTATGTGTAAGAGCAGGGGAGAGGGGAGATAGTGTGTGAAATAGTAGCACAGAACCACAAAGCCATGGATGATACCCTGATATTACATTTGCAATATTTGTACTGTAGTGTTGCTTTGAGACAAAATGACTGAGTTGTGACAATGCAACCTCCTAATGTAAATATCTCAACAGAATATAAGACCTTCAATCTGTGACTTTGTGGTTCTATGAAATAATATGCAGACAGCATTGGTTTTATATTTATAATAACTAAAATGTTTTAGAAAATAAAATTTTTATTTCCTCCTTGTCTTTTATAGGAATGATTGAAATTGTGAAAGATGCTACAACAATTGCCAAAATTCAGCAAAGTACAGTTGGCAACACAGGTGCATTTAAGGATGAAATACTAAATCAGTGGCTGAAAGACAGATGTGTGATTGAAGAAAAGGTAAATTCTTGCACTTTGAATTGGATTATCAAAAGCACCTAAGTGACTTAGGTGCACAAGTCCCATTGAAAGTCCCAAAAGTGTTCTGTAACACACACACTGCATCCTCTGTGTAAATTATTCTGTTTTGTTGTTGTTTTAAATTGGTTCACAGGTTTCATTAACGTAGTTTGTTTTTCCTTTAAAAATAAATGTTACTGCGTGTTGTAGCAGAACAAGTACTAGGGTGCGTATGATGGGGTGTCATGTAACAGGGCAAAACAAAAGCTAACAGTCATAGTCCTGAGTAACAAGGTGCTTTTTTATCCCTTTTGTGGATGGTATTTGGAAGTGATGCATGGCGAGCTGATTAAAGCAAGCACTGTTAGGAAGATGGTAAAAGCCAGCATGGTTAGGGTTAAGCATGGGACTGGGAGCTGACACTGGCTTTCACACTGATTTGCTGTGTGGCTTTGGGCAAATCATTAATCTTCTGCGCGTGTTTTTCCTCTGTAAAATTGGGACAACAATATAAATGTAGCTCACAGGTGTGTTGTGGTAATTAATAAGGGCCTGATCCTGCAAGGTGCTGAGTGCACTGAAGGATCCTGCTCTTACTGTCTATACAGAGATTTGAAGGTGAAGTGTTCTATATAAGCCAGTGATTCTCAGCCTGCGGGCCACTTGCAGCCCAATTAGCACACAGCTGCAGCCCAGCTGTATGGTGAAGGTCCCCTGGCTGTGTGGTGGGGTCTGGGTTCCTGGCTGCCCAGCCCAGCGAGAATCTGGGGTCTGGGGCTGCCAGCCAGCCCCACAGGGTACGGGCTCTGGGGCTGCTGCCCAGTCCCACCTAGCAGGAGTTTGGGGTACAGGGATGCCACCCAGCCCCACAGGCTCCAGGGTCGGGGTCACCAGCCCCGCACAGTGGAGATCCAGGGTCAGAGCTGCTGCCCAGCCCTACACAACAGAGATCTGGTCCAGGCTGCTGCCAGGCCCCACGCAACAGGGGTCTGGGGTCCAGGGTCGGGGCTGCTACCCAGCCCCGCATGGCGGGGTCCAGAGTTCCCGCCCCCCGGTTTCCCACCCAGGACTCTGCTCCTGGCCCCATCTGTGGAGGGGAATCTGGGTGGGAGGCGCTGGGCATAAGGGTCTGTGGGGAGGTTTGCGGGGTCCACTGTGGTTCTCAATCTGCGGCCCAGGTACCACATTGTGGGCCGCATATGTGGTCTACAATGATAAATTGTTTGAGAAACACTGATATAAGCAATAGCATATTCTTACTTTTATTCTTGCTATTAATTAGTTTCAGGCAGCAGTGGAAAGATTTGTTTATTCTTGTTCTGGTTACTGTGTGGCAACCTTTGTACTTGGAATAGGAGACAGACACAATGACAACATTATGATTACAGAATCAGGTGAGGTTTTTTATGAATGACATACTTAAAATAGGGACTGGGTATGCTTTATTAGCTGTGTGTTTTAACAGATATTTAATTGATATTTACATCTTACTCATTATTCATCATATCTGTGTACCTTTTATTTATTAACATTAGTATTTAAACTGACTCACTGATATGTAAGACGGCACTGACTAGAAGTCAGGGTGGAAATGTTTAATCATGTAACAGAAATCGGTTTGGTAACATTTTTATTGAAGTGCATGGATTCTGTGCTACTGGTGTTGCTTTATGGACATTTATTTCAGCTGTTTTTCCTGTGTGTTTTTTTTTAATGTGTGTAAAACCCAAATTCCAAAAAAGTAAAACAAAATCAACAACTTTAGCACCCTAATTCTACCATCAGAAACATGGATGCAACTCTGGTTGAGTTTAATGGGCAGAATTGGGCTGTTAGTGAAATGACTTGGTTTCCAGTGAACTCATATATATCTTTATGAAAAGATCCTGCAGAATTAATGAATACAGAATATAGTGTATCTTTGTTACAGATATCTATATTGTGGTTAAAAAATAACTACAGAAAGGGTTGTATTATGTATTAAATCCTAAAGGAGTAATTTCTGTGGAACCGCATTGGTTTCATCTCTATTGTATTTTATGAGGGCTTTTCCACAAGGGTATATGGTGATATGGATTTAAGGCACAAGTTTTCATGGTACAACTTATTTTATCATGTGACTTGTGATGTATATGTTATAAGGTCCCAATAGTAACAATGCCACTAACAGAAATGGATAAAGATATAGCAGTTCTGCCTGCTTATTAAGGGATGCAAAAAATAAATCTGAACAATAAATATTTTGCTCAGAGGATATGATGATAGTCTGTTCTAGTAAACCAGAGTTATATTTAGTAAACTAATATAAGATAAACCATTAAAAGGTTGCTATCCATAGTATTATGGATGCCAGTGGAAATATTTGTCTGCTACTTATTTATCAGCCTAATCTTGAATTCACTTTCTTATAAAGGTAATCTCTTTCATATTGACTTTGGCCATATTCTTGGGAATTACAAAAGCTTCCTTGGAATTAATAAGGAAAGAGTCCCTTTTGTGTTGACACCAGATTTTCTTTTTGTCATGGGAACTTCTGGAAAGAAGACAAGTCTGCATTTCAGTAAATTTCAGGTAAGGAGTCAATCTTCTGATATAAATAAGTTAAACAGTGTTTTATTTTTTGAGACTAACATTTGGTGCCTTAGTCTTCAAAATTTAAGACTTCCCTGTTAATAAAATGTACTGAACCAAAATCAAATTCTGGGCTATTTTAGGCCCAACTAAGTTCTCAAATTACCTATATGATTATGGGAACTAGAATTCAAAAGGCACATACAGAGCTGCATGGGACAGCATTACCCTGCAATGGAAATGAATGGGAAGACCTGTTACTCTATTTCATGTTTTGAATGGGATCACCCAGTATTACCTACCAGGATACAGTCCAGACTAATGAGCAGCTGTGTCACCCCTGCCCTGCAACCTGGGGTGCTTTACAATGCCTTGCTGAAGTAGCTCCCACTTGGGCCACTCACAAACAGCCTTCTTGCATGCAAACCACACCCTGAGTGTCTGTGTGTAACTGCAGCCTGCCAACCATTCTGGGTTACACTGTGGCTCTCCCCAGCCTTGGTTATACTGCTAGGTGACCACACCACATCCCCTTTCCCACCAGAAATGTATGCCCTGTATTTCTCAGCCTTTTCCTGGAGAGTACAAAGTATTTTAACTCTGTTACTCTTTAAAGGGAATGATATGGCGTCTTATTATCTCAGATAATTATTCAGGCACTTAAATTTAAACACATTGGATTAGATGATACAATAAAACATGTTTATTAACTACAAAGAGGAAGATTTTAAGTGGGTACAAGTAATGAGACATAAAAGTCAGAAAAATAGCTATTTCTGTTTGGGCAGGGCTGTGGGGTTTGGAACATGTGTTAAGAACATCATACAGGGCAATCTTATAACTTTACATATAATGTTGCCACACATATTTTATCAGGACGATACTGACCAACAAATTACAAGATTTCAGATGACACCTTACAAGACATGCCTTGGACAAAATTATTACAACAGTGTTTAGGATGTGAATACAGGGGTGTATTCTGTTAGACCCAGTTAATAGAATCATTTTCACTAGACCATTTATATTTATTATTAAGTTTTGATATATATAAAATTAGAGAAGACTAATGGAATTTGCTAGAGTCAGCCATAGTGTGAGCAGGTGCTGTGCATACTTCTAACTGCTATGCCAGGGAAGCTCACTCCTGATCTGCATGCCTATTTCAGTCCTGGAATTCTGTTTCTGAATAGAAATTTCCAGTTGTCCTGAACTGTGGCAGGTTTTGTAGTGTTTTTTTTTTCATATGTCCTAAGTGTAGGATAGTGTTTCCTTCCCTGGAGTGCTATCACTTTAACAACGAGGCCTTCTAAAATGGCTAAGCACATGACTTTTTGTAGTGTTATATAGGACCTGCAGAAGAAACCAATTTAGTAGGCTTAAGAAAGATAACAAGATAATGGCTTCCAGTGCTGCTGCTCTGAGATGTTTAAAGTGGGCATTTTTTTCGGGTAAAATCTTCTATATTTGAACCTATATGTGTTGTTCCATCTTTAAATAAGCTTTTCTGAAATGAAATTTCCATTTCTAAACACAAGGCAGCTGCCATTTTCCAACCTGTGCCTCTAAAAGTAAGTGAGTACCCGCTGCTGGTTTTGAGCCTTTATTTTGAATCAAAAGCAATTCTAGCATCATCTTAGTGTGAAAGGATTTCATTGCTCTTGCAGTGCAGAATTCCAAGTGACCTGCAGATCCACCATATTTGTAAGGTGATAGAACATTTAAAAGTCAAACTATTGCAAAGTCTTCTATAAAGCTAGGCTGTTGGAAGGTAGGAGAGTTGAACCCCCCTTCAAAGGAGGATTTGAACCGAACATAGCTGTGAACCAGAGCAGAAGTGCTGTTGCAGACGCTGTGTAAGCCATGCATGAATGTGGGGTTCAAATGTGAGTGTGAATTGGTAGGTGGTGATCAGTCTGGAAGCAGTGAGTAGATAGACAGCAAGAAAATATACCCCAAGGGAACTGTGGGAAGACATGGTAGCTACACTGTACTGCCATTCCCCAGTGTTGATGCACTGAACCAGTGTAAACTGGGACATGGGACAGTATGACTTTCCCCAGGGTCTGGGAAGCTACACTACTGCAAAAATCTCTAATGTAGACAAAGCTGAATTCTGGTGTGGGCCTTAAATCACAATCTTTCCCCCAAAATCTAAATTGCAGTCCTCTAAATTATACGGACATTGTTGCATGTAAGATGGGCAGTCTAATTTCCACTTTTGCCAATAACCAGATAAAAAGTAGTTAAACGGTTCATATTTCACATTGGTAGATGTGCTACCGATCTACCAATGTGATATATGCCATCATGTGCCAGCAATGCCCCTCTGCCATGTACATTGGCCAAACCAGACAGTCTCTACGCAAAAGAATAAATGGACACAAATCTGACATCAAGAATTATAACATTCAAAAACCAGTAGGAGAACACTTCAGTCTCCCTGGACACTCAATAACAGACTTAAAAGTGACAATTCTTCAACAAAAAACCTTCAAAAACAGACTCCAACGAGAAACTACAGAACTGGAATTAATTTGCAAACTGGAAACCATCAAATTAGGCCTGAATAAAGACTGGGAGTGGATGGGTCACTACAAAACCTAATTTCCCCCTGCTGATACACCTTTTTGTCAACTGTTTGAAATGGGCCACCTTGATTACGTTTAACTCATTAGCACTACAAAAGTGATTTTTTCCTCCCTTCTTGTCAACTGTTGAGAACAGCCCACTTCCACCTTAATTGAACTGGCTCGTTAGCACTTACCCCCCCACTTGGTAAGGCAACTCCAATCTTTTCATATGATGTGTATTTATACCTCTCTACTGTATTTTCCACTTCATGCAGCTGATGAAGTGGGTTTTAATCCACGAAAGTTTATGCCCAAATAAATTTGTTAGTCTCTAAGGTGCTACGAGGACTCCTTGTTGTTATTACAAAGTGAGTTGGTTTGGATTCTCCTATGATAAATGGAAATGCTACTGATTGTAAAGAAAGATGGTAAATTAATGAGGTTTCTTTCATTGTTACAGGCAATTATTACATATTAGGAAAATTAAACTTAAATCCTCTTTTTCACTAAAAAGCTTATGTTTGATTAATTTATGTAATGCTGTTACAAAAAGCCCTTTAGTTTTTTCAACAAAACATGGACGCATGCCTCAATAGCTACCAAGCATCCAGAGCAATGGATGGGGAAGTTAGCTTAATGTTTCTGTTAAAATGAATAGTAGGGAAATTAAGTGTTAGCAAATTAACATGGTAGATTAGTATTGTGTAATTGAAATTTAAGCAAGTTCCTAAATGAGCTTCCTAAAACCTTCTGTTTCAGTCTGCTCAGTCAGTTAACAAAACTTTCTTCCCTTGTGTAGGACATTTGTGTGAAGGCTTATCTATCTCTTCGACATCACACAAACCTGCTGATCATTCTGTTTTCCATGATGCTAATGACTGGAATGCCCCAATTAACCAGCAAAGAAGATATTGAATATATCCGGGATGCTCTAACTGTAGGTAAAAACGAGGAAGATGCTAAAAAGCATTTCCTGGATCAGATTGAGGTTTGCAGAGATAAAGGCTGGACTGTGCAGTTTAACTGGTTTCTACATCTTGTGCTTGGAATCAAACAAGGAGTAGAAAAGCATTCTGCCTAATGTTTCTGTAAAATAACTATGGATATAACTAGAACATTAACAAGTTTGGGTGTTTATTTACAGCTTACTAGTAATTGAACCGTCAAAGTTGCCTTTTAATTTGCTAACAGTTTAAATAGGACTTCTAAAAATGGCAAACCGCTTTGCCCTGAACTTCAAGAACGTCAATCTGTTTCTTACAGAAACAGATTTTCTGGAGTTGCTGACATTGCAAATACTGTTTTTTATTTGTTAGTAGCTTTGCTGATGTGGCCTACAATTTTCCCATTTGTCTTCACTGTAGCTTCAGAAAAAGACAAAGCAGGGAGTGGAGCATGATGATAGCCTGGGAACTGAAACATGGGTGCCCTGTGACTTTCCCCTAAATTATGCATGTTTGTCAGGCCCTTCAAGAGAAGGAGGATTTTTATTTATTCATTTTAAATAATCTGATTGTAAGTTCTCCTACAGGACGTATACTTCTTCAGGAGGGCTTTATTACCAAGTGTTCTTCACCCTCATTCTTCTCCTTCATCCTTTCCTTAACTCCTTGTTCCTCCTTGACCAGGCCTGAAAGAGAGTCTAAGTTTAAAAATTAGATCAACCTAGCTATGTTGCTCAGGGTTGTGAACAATTTCATGCTCACCACCAGTGTAACCACAGCTAGGTCGACGGAAGAATTTTTCCATTGGCCTATACACCACCTCTGAGAGATGGATTAACTACATTGGTGGAAAAAACAGTTGGTGGTTTTAAAAAAAAGAAAAAGGCTCAAGACCCATTTATAAATGTTTATGGCTTGTCATGACCCACTAAATAGTCTGGGGGTAGAGGCCCTGGGATGGTTTCAGTCAGATCCTGTCTCTTGGGGGGTTGGGTCCCGCCTGGCACTCACCCCACAGTGGCGGCTCCTGCAGCTCTTGTGCTGTAGGGCTAGCTGTGCTTGGCTCTCGACTCTGGGTGTTGCAACCTGCAAGGTTGCAGCACCGCTCAGGTGTGGCCCTGCCTGGATTAAATTTGTGTGAATGGAGTTGTGACTTGGCTCATTGGGTTGCAGTGTCACTCACTCAAGTTTGGCTTACCTGGACTCCTGTCCTGTTGATAGCTGGGCCAAACCTGAGTGGTGCTGGGACCCTACAGGTTGCAGAGCTAGGAGGAGGGAGTGAGCCCAGACAGCCCCGTGGGACTAGAGCCACAGGAGCTGCCACAAAACCTTTTGAAACATTCTGGTGACCCAGTTTTGTGTCCTAACCCAAAGGTTGAGAAACTGTGGTCTAGGGAGAACCTTACATTACCATTGGTGTAGCTTCCTGAACCATAAAACCAAAGGCCTAATTGGCCCTTCCACAGAAGTGCCCACAGACCATCTCCTTTACCTTAAAGTTCCTGGGTTTGCTCCGATAATTTTCTTTTAAGTTTAAGAGTTTCAATTGTCATTTTTAAGTTCCTTTTTTAAATGAACATCCAATACATTATGTTGAATCTTGATGCTTATATAGTTTTCTTGTGAAATTACTGGAATTCTGCCTATACATTAAAAGCTTTATAAAAGTAACTTCCTTGTTCCTTAAAAGAATCTTCTCTAAGAACAATTGACATTTTGCCAAATGTTTAAGAAGCCCAAAGGTTATTTATTCTTCAGTGACATATTTTCAAGTTATACCAATCAGGAACGAAATGTAATCTTTGAAATTGTGTATATTTTGCTATTTATAGTGTTTGTTTTATTTTTAAAGTTCTTTTAAAATAATTGACTATTGAGAAGCTATTTATGAAAGGAATTGTTTATTTTTAATTTAAGTATAAACTAAATCTAAAGACAAGGAAATACTGGGGGCAAATATTAGGTGTATATTTTTAACTATTTCTCTAATAGCATATCTGAAAATAATTAATTGATCCTATTAATATAAGAAAAAACAAAACACAATTTATAGCATGAATTTTGCTTCTGACTTAAATTATTAAAATACTCTCCCTGCTGATTAATTGATTTTACCAAAGAGAGAAGACAGCTTACAGTGTGGCCTATTCGCACTTGTGCCTATGTAGTAGTTGCTTCTTTCATTACATATTGACATGGGTTCTACGTTAAACTCAGATGATCAACTAGATTTGCTAATTTCTGTTGTTGTTTGTATCCATCATTTCACACTGTTGCTTAGATTTTAACAAGAACTACTGAGTGTGCTCTTAAAAGATTTGGAATAAATGTACTGTAGTTGGTATCTCAATTATGAGAGAGATAGCGAATTTTTAGTTTTTAAATGGAGGTGCTTAATTGGTTGCTCTCCACAAAGGTATTTTTGATGTATACGGTAAATTCTGATGAGGAGGTCCAAAATGCTTACATGTTGTTATGAAATCATTTTCCATTCTGACACATAATGACCCTGTGCAAAATGGTTTTAAAAGCATGCTGAGGTGTAACGTATGATTAGTATTGTGTCTGTAACATGATATTCTTGGTTTTGTGCTCTATAGTCCTGAAATGAATTCTCTCTTATTTGATGATAAATCATGAAATAAAAGGATTTCTTTTTCAAAAATAAATAGTCTTCTGTTTCTCCAATAATTTAAAAAAACATGTATGGAACTTCTTGAAGAAGTGCTCTTCAGAGCCCAGCTTTGAGGACATTTTTATTCTTAAGTCTAAAACTCCACAAACAGCCCTCCCCACCCTCCTAATTCTAGGGACTTTGTCAATATGAAACAAAAGAGAAGACTCCAGTTTCATGATTATCCACCCTGAGGGCAAACCTCCATTTTCTAATGGGATTTTATAAACCTTGGTTCTGTTGTTTAAAGAAAACTTGATTTAAATTGTGCTATGATTTTAAATTAAATTGTCTGCTGTTAATATTAGAACACTTGAGTCAGCAATATCTGAAACAATGGTCGCAATTTTGCCAGGTAATGCCATTCATAAGCAAACTTGTTCATGTAAATAAAGATCTAACAGCAATCTAACCCTGGGAGAGAAGTTTACAATCTACTACTAAGTTTAAAGCATGTATCAGCAGTTTATTTTGTGCTACAAGCTGACAAAAACCTTATCAATTAAAGCACTATATAGCATGAAAATAGGATTTGAGGCTAGAATTTAGTAAAAAGTTATCTGAAACCTTACAAAATCTGTTTAGGTTATCCAGAGATTGATAATACAGGAACACAGATCTTTGGTATACACAGACTTTTATGGGGGAGGTGGGAAGGCAGGGAGGGGAGCAGGGACCATTATAGCAGGAATTAAGGGAGAGACAAGAGAGAACACAGGGGAAGATCAAATCAGTATCTGAGATGTTTGTATACTGATGTGAGAAGTATGGGGAATAAGCAGGAAGAACTTGAAATGCTAGTTAACAAACACAACTATGACATAGTTGTCATCACAGAGACTTGGTGGGATAATACACATGACTGGAATATTGGTATAGAAGGGCACAGCTTGCTCAGGAGGGACAGGCAAGAAAGAAAGGGAGAAGGTGTTGCTTAAAAATTAAAAATGTGTACACTTGTACTGAGGTTGAGATAGAAATAGGAGACAGACTTGTTGAAAGTCTCTGGTAAGGATAAAAGGGGTTAAATACATGTCATGGTAGGGGTCTGCTACAGCCCACTTCACCAGGAAGAAGAGGTAGATGCGGCTTTTTTTAAACAACTAACAAAATCATTCAAAGCATGGGACTTGGAAGTGATGGGGGACTTCAACTACCCAGACTCCTGTTGAAAAATAATACAGCAGGGCACAGATTATCCAACAAGTTCTTGGAATGTATTGGAGACAACTTTTTATTTCAGAGGTGGAGAAAGCTACTAGGGGAGAGGCTGTTCTAGATTTGATTTTCACAAATAGGGAGGAACTGGATGAGAATTTGAAAGTGGAAGGCAGCTTAGGTGAAAGTGATCATGAAATACATTCTAATGCATTAGAAGCAAGAGGAAGACCAAGGACAGGATAGGCCCCTTACTCAATGACAGAGAAAAAACAAAAACAGAAAATGTGGAAATGGCAGAAGTGCTAAATGACTTTTTTGTTTGTGTTCACCAAAAAGGTTAATAGCGATTGGACATCTAACATAGTGAATGCCAGTGAAAATGAGGTAGTATCAAAGGCTAAAGTAGGAGAAGAACAAGTTAAAAATTACTTACACAAGTTAGATGTCTTAAAGTCACCAGGGTCTGATGAAATACATCCTAGAATGCTCAAGGAGCTGACTGAGGAGATATCTGAGCCATTAGCGATTATCTTCAAAAAGTCATGGAAGATGGGAGAGATTCCAGAGGACTGGAAAAGGGCAAATATAGTGCCAATCTATAAAAAGGGAAATAAGGACAACCCTGGGAATTACAGACCAGTCACCTTAACTTCAGTACCTGAAAACATAATGAAGCAAATAATTTAGCAATCAGTTTGCAGACACCTAGAACATCACGTCCCTGCGGCCCCCCACTTCCCGTAGCTCCCATTGGCTGGGAACAGCGAACCACGGCCACTGGGAGCTGCGGGGGGGCCCGTGCCTCCGGATGGTCAATGTAAACAAAAAGACTTGTGACCTATCTTCGGATTACCCTGATGGGGCTGCATGCCAAAGGTTGCCAACCCCTGGTCGAGATAATACTTAGTCCTGTCTTGAGTATAGGGGACTGGACTACATGACTTCTCGAGGTTCCTTCCAGTCCTATGATTTAATCAAAAATATGATATTGACTTTAATGGGACTATCTATATGAGTTACAGGTTGTTAGAGCTAGCCCATTATTTGTAATAAGCATAATATACAGTATCAATATACAATAAACATCTTATACAATGTAGTTAATATATTTCTGTATGGTATGAAGTTGCAGACAATTATTTTCCACATCCTTAAGGACACCATCCCTTCATCCAGACTTAATGGTTCATGGTGGCGGAGGGGAATACTCTGTTGGGCTCATTGTGCAGTAATGTCAGGTTTCAGAGTAGCAGCCGTTTTAGTCTATATCCGCAAAAAGAACAGGAGTACTTGTGGTACCTTAGAGTAACAAATTTATTTGAGCATAAGCTTTTGTCCTCCCTCCTCTCATGAAACTGAGAACGCTGCCTCCAGAGCACTTGAAGTTTCTACCAGCCTGGGCAATGAGTGACCAGGAATTGAACCCAGATCTCCTCCATACATATAGACCATGACAACTAGCTGGCTAGTTATCTGGCTGGCCTGCTAACCATCTAATTTTTAAATAGTTGTGTATTTGTTTGGTTGATTCTATGTTGCCTGCCAACCTTTAGCTTTCAGTCCCTCCAATTCAGCCATCCAGTTTGGCAAATGTAATTTTCTGTTTAGCCCTGAATGAAGATAAAATATACACTTTTGTCTTCTATGGCTTGAAGCGATTCCAACACGCTCAAAGAGATCCTACCTTCTGTTCCATTCAGGCCTCATTGTTGGACTTCAGAAGAAGATAACACTTGCCACCCTACTTTTGAGTTCTAATTATCTTTTAACATCCTGTTTTATTAATCATCTTAATACATATAATTGCACTTCCATCCAATACTATGGAAGCTGTAGACTGGTAAGATTCACCAACAACCAGATGAAGACCAAAATTGGAAAATAGCAAATTCCCTCCACTGCCAGGAAACTCCAAAGCAACACTATGTACATATTGTCATTTGACCAGATTTCACACACATTCCCCTTCTGAGGTTTTAAGCAGAAAAGAGAATTTTTTACATTCTCCCTGATTCTGTACTTACCAGTAACACTACATTATTACCAAAGCCATAATACTTAACACATATACAACACTTTTCATCTTTTGATCTCAAAGCATTATACAAATGTAGTAAGGCATTGATATGACCCCCAGTACTATAGTACCTGAGCACTTGACAATCTTTAATGTATTTCTCTTCCCACCACCCCTATGACATAGGAAAGTACTATGATCCTCGTACATTGTGACTGAGGCCACAAAGGACTGAGTGACATTCACACAGGCAACCTATGGCAGAGCATGAAGTTGAACCCAGGTCTCCTGAGTACCCAGGCCAGTGCCTTAACTATTGGGCCACCCTTTGTTTGATAATTTTGACCATTTTACAGATGGAGAAACTGAAGCTCTAAGGGTATGTCTACACTACGGAATAAGGTCGAATTTATAGAAGTCGGTTTTTTAGAAATCGGTTTTATAAATTCGAGTGTGTGTGTCCCCACAGAAAATGCTCTAAGTGCATTAAGTGCATTAACTCGGCGGAGCGCTTCCACAGTACCGAGGCAAGCGTCGACTTCCGGAGCGTTGCACTGTGGGTAGCTATCCCACAGTTCCCGCAGTCTCCGCTGCCCATTGGAATTCTGGGTTGAGATCCCAATGCCTGATGGGGCTAAAACATTGTCGCGGGTGGTTCTGGGTACATATCGTCAGCCTCCCGTTCCCTCCCTCCCTCCGTGAAAGCAAGGGCAGACAATCATTTCGCGCCTTTTTTCCTGAGTTACCTGTGCAGACGCCATACCACAGCAAGCATGGAGCCCGCTCAGGTAACCGTCACCCTATGTCTCCTGGGTGCTGGCAGACGCGGTACGGCTTTGCTGCACAGTAGCAGCAACCCCTTGCCTTCTGGCAGCAGACGGTGCAATACGATTGGTAGTCGTCCTCATCGTGTCCGAGGTGCTCCTGGCCGCGTCGGCTGGGAGCGCCTGGGCAGACATGGGCGCAGGGACTAAATTTGGAGTGACTTGACCAGGTCATTCTCTTTAGTCCTGCAGTCAGTCCTATTGAACCGTCTTATGGTGAGCAGGCAGGCGATACGGACTGCTAGCAGTCGTACTGTACCATCTTCTGCCAGGCAGGCAAGAGATGAGGATTGCTAGCAGTCGTATTGCACCATCTTCTGCCAGGCAGGCAAGAGATGGGGATGGCTAGCAGTCGTACTGTACCATCTTCTGCCGAGCAGCCATGAGATGTGGATGGCATGCAGTCCTTCTGCACCGTCTGCTGCCAGCCAAAGATGTAAAAGATAGATGGAGTGGGTCAAAACAAGAAATAGACCAGATTTGTTTTGTACTCATTTGCCTCCTCCCCTGTCTAGGGGACTCATTCCTCTAGGTCACACTGCAGTCACTCACAGAGAAGGTGCAGCGAGGTAAATCTAGCCATGTATCAATCAGAGGCCAGGCTAACCTCCTTGTTCCAATAACAACGATAACTTAGGTGCACCATTTCTTATTGGAACCCTCCGTGCAGTCCTGCCTGAAATACTCCTTGATGTACAGGCACCCCCTTTGTTGATTTTAGCTCCCTGAAGCCAACCCTGTAAGCCGTGTCGTCAGTCGCCCCTCCCTCCGTCAGAGCAACGGCAGACAATCGTTCCGCGCCTTTTTTCTGTGCGGACGCCATACCACGGCAAGCATGGAGCCCGCTCAGCTCACTTTGGCAATTAGGAGCACATTAACCACCACACGCATTATTCAGCAGTATATGCAGCACCAGAACATGGCAACGCGATACCGGGCGAGGAGGCGACGTCAGCGCGGTCCCGTGAGTGATCAGGACATGGACACAGATTTCTCTGAAAGCATGGGCCCTGACAATGCATGCATCATGGTGCTAATGGGGCAGGTTCATGCTGTGGAACGCCGATTCTGGGCTCGGGAAACAAGCACAGACTGGTGGGACCGCATAGTGTTGCAGGTCTGGGACGATTCCCAGTGGCTACGAAACTTTCGCATGCGTAAGGACACTTTCATGGAACTTTGTGACTTGCTTTCCCCTGTCCTGAAGCGCATGAATACCAAGATGAGAGCAGCCCTCACAGTTGAGAAGCGAGTGGCGATAGCCCTGTGGAAGCTTGCAACGCCAGACAGCTACCGGTCAGTTGGGAATCAATTTGGAGTGGGCAAATCTACTGTGGGGGCTGCTGTGATGCAAGTAGCCCACGCAATCAAAGATCTGCTGATATCAAGGGTAGTGACCCTGGGAAATGTGCAGGTCATAGTGGATGGCTTTGCTGCAATGGGATTCCCTAACTGTGGTGGGGCTATAGATGGAACCCATATCCCTATCTTGGCACCGGAGCACCAAGCCGCCGAGTACATAAACCGCAAGGGGTACTTTTCGATAGTGCTGCAAGCTCTGGTGGATCACAAGGGACGTTTCACCAACATCAACGTGGGATGGCCGGGAAAGGTGCATGATGCTCGCATCTTCAGGAACTCTGGTCTGTTTCAAAAGCTGCAGGAAGGGACTTTATTCCCAGACCAGAAAATAACTGTTGGGGATGTTGAAATGCCTATATGTATCCTTGGGGACCCAGCCTACCCCTTAATGCCATGGCTCATGAAGCCGTACACAGGCAGCCTGGACAGTGGTCAGGAGCTGTTCAACTACAGGCTGAGCAAGTGCAGAATGGTGGTAGAATGTGCATTTGGACGTTTAAAGGCGCGCTGGCGCAGTTTATTGACTCGCTTAGACCTCAGCGAAACCAATATTCCCACTGTTATTACTGCTTGCTGTGTGCTCCACAATATCTGTGAGAGTAAGGGGGAGATGTTTATGGCGGGGTGGGAGGTTGAGGCAAATCGCCTGGCTGCTGGTTACGCGCAGCCAGACACCAGGGCGGTTAGAAGAGCACAGGAGGGCGCGGTACGCATCAGAGAAGCTTTGAAAAACAGTTTCATGACTGGCCAGGCTACGGTGTGAAAGTTCTGTTTGTTTCTCCTTGATGAACCCCCCCACCCCTTGGTTCACTCTACTTCCCTGTAAGCTAACCACCCTCCCCTCCTCCCTTTAATCATTGCTTGCAGAGCCAATAAAGTCATTGCTGCTTCACAGTCATGCATTCGTTATTCATTCATCACACAAATAGGGGGATGACTACCAAGGTATCCCAGGAGGGGTGGTGGAGGAGGGAAGGAAAATGCCACACAGCACTTTAAGCACAGCACTTTAAAAGTTTACAACTTTAAAATTTATTGAATGACAGCCTTCTTTTTTTTGGGCAATCCTCTGTGCGGGAGTGGCTGGTTGGCCGGAGGCCTCCCCACCGCGTTCTTGGGCGTCTGGGTGTGGAGGCTATGGAACTTGGGGAGGAGGGCGGTTGGTTACAGAGGGGCTGCAGTGGCAGTCTGTGCTCCAGCTGCCTTTGCTGCAGCTCAACCATACACTGGAGCATACTGGTTTGGTCCTGCAGCAGCCTCAGCATTGAATCCTGCCTCCTCTCATCACGCTGCCGCCACCTTTGAGCTTCAGCCCTGTCTTCAGCCCGCCACTTACTCTCTTCAGCCTGCCACTTACTCTCTTCAGCCCTCCACCTCTGCTCC